GGAGGAATCCAACAAGCCATGTTAAAATTTATTTTTTAAATTCTATAAATGAAGCTCTATTTTCACTCAAGAATGTTTAAAGTTGTTTGTAATCTGAGCTATTTCTCTGGAGAGATGGTCTGCATCAGAAAGAAATACATTCTGTATTATACTGTATAAAGTACTTTTTTCAATACTGTGAAAGACACAAGATCTTTTAAATAATCAACTTGTAAAGCAATATAGGTATTATAACCCCATCCGCTTGAAAGATCAAGTTATCAGTAGGATGTTTTGTGGAAAGAGGTAAGATCTACTTCTAGAAGAGTGGGAGGTAAGTGAAAACAAGTGACCGACTGAAGGGTTGATTTGAACCCATCTTTTATAGCTAAATGTAAACAGACAAACAAAACACCATGCCACTTCATGTATTTTGTATATAAATAATTAACAAGCTGTATATCCTCAATTGCTCATTACTACTTTCCATAAACATTTCAATAGATATTTACTGAAAGCAAGGCTGATTACTAATAGTTCAATCAGAATATCCTATTTTATCTGTTCATTAATTAGAGTTAAGACAGAATGAGTAGCACTGCTACACTGCCAATGTGATCCATGTCTTGAATTACCACCATATAGCTCTATGATAACTGATTGAATACAACTGGAAAGCTACCATTAACAGGAATGTGTTTAAAATTATAAGCTAAACTGGGAGGAGGTGTACAATTCCCCTGATAGAACTGACAAATTATCCTCTCTTAGTTCTCATATTTTACCCCTAATACCTGGGGAGTAGAGGGAAGGGATTGACCCACAACTCCCACTAATGATAATGTTTCATTAAAAACAAACAAACAAAGGCAGCAAAGACACATAAAACAACAATCCACATTTGCAAAGAAGAGACACCTCAAATATCCTTCAATTTGTAGTACATCTGAAAATTTTCTACACAGGTTTGGGGGACAAGTTCAAGCATAATAGGGTATAAATTCCTCAAAGGAAAACAAAACATACAAAAAAATGTACTTAACCTCTCCTAGTCTTACCTTGTTCAATACGTGTAGCCAGGTGCAGCATTTCCCCCTGAGCAGCTAGCTGGTGAACTGATAAAGCTGCAAAAAAGGAAGCAAAAACATGTAGTATGCACACAAATTTTCATTCTGCTCCATTTGGAATTAGACCTAACATGTCCATTGGCTTGTGCAGTACAGAATTTAAGATTTGAGAGCAGATTTCACCTTATTTCACCTTATTCTAAGACAGTAATTGGAATTAACCACTTTAAGAATTAAAGTTTCTTTATCAAGCATGCAAAAACAAAGCTTTAGAAGAACTAGAAAAAAAATCAGGTTTTCAAATAAAGAATTGGATCCCCTTTGGAAAACATGCTTCCATCATGAATTCAGTACGGCAGGCAGATAATCATTTTAAGGTTTGAACCACGTGAAATTAGACAAGATTATCTCAGTATTTTCTTCCTACATTATAGTTCATTAAAAAGACCCAAGAAAAATGGAAAAAAAAATCACGCAAGTAGCTAACTTGCAGAAAGATACTTACAATTTACAAGCAGAGGTGTTGTAGAGACTTCATTTCCCCTATGTTTGTTAGTTAGAGTAGTTGACTGTTTTATCGGAGAGAAATGCTTAGTTGTTGATGGAGTGTAAACATGTCTTACTTGGATGCCGGGGGAAGGAGAAGTATGGATGTTGCATTCAGCTACATTGAACAGAAAAAATAAATATGGTTTTAGTGCTATTAAAAGCATTAAAAAAATGCACAGGATCCAAGTCAAATTAGAAAGCTCTAGTGTCACCAGATCTTTAAAGCCTGCATTAAGTAACCTTTGTAGGCTAAAGTAGTAACCTTTGTGGGTTCATCAGGTAGGACAGCAATACAGGGCATGCATTATCTTTATGAACACTTTCCATCTTAATGAACATAATGCAATTATGATCACATAACTGCTCAACTCATCCTTTTGCCTCCGGTCTAACTATTACACAGCATGATTGGACCCAACCTTCACAAAATTCCTCCATTAGGACTTTTCCCACTCCTGCTTGACAAACCTGTGACTGTATTATGAATGTCTTCTGAATATTTATCCAATAGGAATAAAGATTTTCCATACTACCTTGTAGAAAATGCAACAGCAAGATACTAATTAGAACTCAGAAAGTCACTCAGTGTTTCTGTGGGGTTTTTTTGTATTTTTTTTAGTTATCAGTAACAGTATTTTATTACAGACTTTATGCATTGTTTTGACTCCTAATTCACAGAATAGTTTTTGGTTCTGAGAAGTAGCTGAGAAGCCAACAGTTTTTAAGAGATGAACAATTAAATACTAGAAACACAGTGAAAACTGAAACTCCATTACTGGCCAAGTTCATTTTATGCTACTGTGCACTAGTAATTAATGATTTGAAGTTAATTAACATGTGCACCAAATTCATGCTATAAAGAACTTCATGATTACAAAGCCAAGTGCAACTTTGGGAAGGGAACTGATTAAAAGAACTAAAAATGACCCTGGACAATAGCATGAAAACGCTAGTAATTAGATGCACAAGATGCGCTACTAACAGCCTGAAATATTAAAGCAACCCTGATCAACGCTATTGGTCAAAAGAAACAGATTTAAGTCATAATTCTTCTCTTTGTAGATAAGCCCAGCCATGATAAAACCCTGATAACTCTGATGTGGCTGCAGAGCAGCGAGTGGAGACTGGCTGCAGGGAAGAGCTTGCAGTACTGTAGCAATATTCACTTTCAAAGAGCGTGAAACCAAATCAGCAATCACTTCAATGACTGCAGGCTTTGTGCAGCCATATCGATAAAACAAGATCAACTGTATAAACTGTATTATCATGGACTAGTGAAAGGCTAAAGCACAACCCACAAAGCTACTGAAGTTAAGATATAACCCATAAAATTAATAGCCCATTATTGACTACATATAATAAGAATTCTAAGGGAACAAATTACAGGTAAAAAAAAAAAATCAGATTAACACACACATAACAAAAGGGGAGTTTTTTTTAACGTCTCAGGACAATGGGATGGGACAACCCATACACAACAATTTGTACCATGAAGTTCAACCTTTAAATAAGACAGATGCCACTTCAAGGTCAGAGTTAACTTGGTCTTGAATGTTTTTACTGTCCTCTTCGTTCAAAGATTTCACAAACCGTGAGCAGACATTCATGTCAAATCTATTGGGCAGAATGAACTTCATTCCCATGGCGACGCTCTGCGCAGGCCCTTCGTCCGCGCCGGGCTCCAGCTGATGCTCCACCTTGATGTCGGCCATGGCTGGGAGGCCGTAGACGCCGGCGCCCTCCTCCACCCACCGCTG